AAAGATTGTTATATTCAGGTGATTATACACTAACGATAACATAGCTAAGCACATTACAGTATATTCCATTTCTGCCAATAGATCCTCCTAAATGTTACACACTGGACCTTTACCATCTTTAACACTGTGTCTCTGAATAATGTAAAACTGAAAATTAAAACTCTGTCACAAGCTTTTATTGCAGTCAATTTGTTCTGCAATTCAGGATGCAAAACCATCAAGTGAGTGGCAACCAAACGATGCACTGTGAGGTATCTCTGACCATTCAGATGCTGCCAAGGTCATTGGTCTCCGCCCCTCACCGCCACCAAACACACGGTGAACTCTGGAGGAACATACAGCGAACCTCTACCTGTTACTGCTAGATAAAAACTGCCTGTTGTGTCAGATTGTTAAGATATTTGAAATCAATACAGAAGAGAATTAACAAATAAAGTCTTTTACTTCTAATCCCAGCTCACATTCGCTCCTAAATCCAGCTGATTATTAGTGACCACCTCAGTTTTGGCATCTTTGACTCAAATTAATCCACTTTACAAATTAGCTGATGGAGTATTGTACCCCAACAGAGAAATCAGAATTAGCCATAATCCAGACTGCAGAGAGGGAGGAGAAACTAGGCCATGAAATATAGTGACGTTCATTTAGGCTTTCAATCCAAACAGACAGTTTACAGGTCATTACAGTCCAGGGTTAAAGTCTTTATGAATAATCCGGTGGTGAAATATGAATTCTGTAAGATTAAACCCGCTTCAGAACAACAAAATGTTCATTTCTCGTCATGTCCTCACTTGATATTAGCCGTTTGCCCTGAATTACTCTGAAAAGAGTATTACACGGTCAATGAATCCATTCATTTGCAGCAGAACAACCAGTGTTGTGCCAAGGCAAAGAACAAAAAAGGTACAATCAGAGGAAACTTTGTCCACATCGTCTGTAGCTAAATTTACTTCTGATTTTACTCTTTAATTAGATTTGAAAGGAGCTGAAACAAGACTTAAAGCAAAACCTAATTCTTTGATTTGAGAGTCTGATCAGGGTGGGGTTTTTTTTTAGTAGAAAGAGGGAACTTTTCTCAAGTAAAAGCCTCCAGAAGAAAAAAACAGCATGTGTGATCATGCATGTCTCCAGCTTCAGAGCCCAATTTGATCCTCTGCTACAGAAATACAGAATGTGATCAGACTAAAATTCAGTGCAAAGGCCAGTCCTGACAGCGGCTCCTAGACGGCGGAGACAGAGGATTTATGAGCTGAAATTGCCTTGGTCATCCCCCTCTTGCATTATGGTACTGTAACCTACATTCAGCTGTTTACTAAGCAAAACGTGGACACTGTGTCAGTCTCCTGGCTGTGGACGTATGTTTTTGTGCTGTAATTGAAGATGCAACGCACACAAGAACAGACATCCAAGCTGCCTTTGTAAGATCAAGGCCACACATTGGTTGTTTACAGTCACACTGATGAGCAAACTGACAGAGATGTAACATTTAAATCATGGCGTGCTATTGATTTGGGCACCATCCATTAAAAAGGGACACATCTGGGCATTTGTCGATCTGCAGCTGGGACAAAAGGATGCCTTCATCTGCAATGTGTCATTCCTCTCCCGTCAGTCAACAACATTAAAAGCCCAACATCCAATGAGGCCTTCCATATCACGACTCTTCTATCTTTTTTCTTTTTGGGTTAAGACACAAAACATCACAGGCCCCAGTGGGTCGTGATGTAAGCAAATTTCTGGGATAAAAACAAGAGCTTGCTGTTATTATAGGCCCTTCTCCTCTAACCCACTGCTCCAGTTCTCACAGTGAAAAGCTCCACCTTTTCCCTCTGCTGCCGACTGACTGCCCCTTGCATTGCATTGCTGCAGTTTTATTTACGCACAAACTCGATACGCCCAAAAATGATTCAGCATGCAGGCGAGGCAAGGCAAGGCAGGGTCTACATGTCGTGTGTTTACCTCGGGGACTTGAATCTTGCAGGTACGGGGGAGCGGTGGGGGTCACATTCTCGGAGTTGGGGCCCGACAGCAGCGGAGATCGCTCGTCCATGCCGTCGGAGGCCATGTCGTTAACGGTGAGAAATATCGGACAGAGGCGGCGGGGAGGCTCCTGGCTGCACCGAGTCTTCACTCAGCACGGAGGAGCAGCCGGCGGCTGGTTGTTGGTGGCGAGTTACTCCGGTCCAGCAGCCCCGGTGACGGCAGCCTGGAGGAGGAGGAGCTCCGCGGTGATCCCCGCCCCCCTCTCGCTGGTATGACCCGGGGCATGGTGGTAGTGCTAGTAAGACTATATGGAGCTGTGTGCTGCACACATTGGAGACTGTGATGGAATTTTATGTGAAAAAAAAAACATGTGAGTGTTATTCAATGTTTTGGTGCACAGGTTTATTTGGATTGTATCCCATATTTTTGTTTATAAATAACAATATAAAATGTCCTGCTTGGACCCTGAGCAAGCGGATAAGATTTCAGTGTTTTTAATGATGGAGGTACACAGTGGTAAATCAATAAAGCAGCGATTTCCAGTTTTCACCACTAGATGTCACTGTTTGACTACTGAGGTCCATGTCTGTGCGGCAGTCGGTAAGTATTTAGACCAGGGGTCACCAACCTTTTTGAAACTGGGTACTGAGTCATACGAAGGGC